CAACTAAGGCTTATGGATCGATGGATGGAGAGCCTCTTCACACAAATGCTGCTACATATGACCAAAGATTGCAGCCTCGTCTGACAAAAGCGAACCTTATCGAGAGATTAACTGCAAGGGGAAGAATGTGCAATAACAGAGTCAACGGTGTGAAAGGCAGCGGGAAAAGTGGAGGACGCAGCCATATGAGAAACCTAGCTGGCCAGGTTTCTCATGAATATGGCTGCATTCTTGCAGGATAGAGTTCTCGGTCAAAAGCAGCACATCCAAAAAATGAGGAACTATTCTGCGGTCGAGCGGTAAATATGAAAGTCCCAGAAGAAGGTCACAAGTTCGACATGCATGCTGGACCTCAAAAACATCATAGAGCATCAGTTCAGATCGCGCAATCGTCAGACCGCTTGTGTTCTGCATGCTCAACGCGCTCCAGAAGTTATCACAGTAGTGCCGAGTTATGGGCACAAGTGTTGACCCTAGGTGATATCTGAGTCCGTACCTCACACTAACCGGGCGAGTGTGGTATCACCTACACTAGGAAGACTGCTCACCCTCTCAGTTGCGGGGCCAAGTCCCACGCGGGGTCAAAACTTTTGCCCACAACTCAGCATTCTTGGGACGATTTTCCCGCAAACACTTAAACCTGTTATAAGAACAGTTTATTACACTACAAAATATTTATGCAAACTTTACAAACTTCCAAAGAGGAGTGAGGAGCGCGCAATGCAGTTGAAGCAGAAAAAATCCCTGCTCGAAGTTCTATGAGCGCTCTCGTCCAACTGCCATAAGTCGTCACGGCCAACGGGACAGCTCAGACTTAATCCTGCTTTGCAGCCCCTGTAGATTCCAGATTAGGATAGAGAATCGCTGGACGATTTCCTGCTTTCACTCGACCAACAAAGTCCACCCATTGCGATCGATGTTGACGTTCCTCCTTTTCCATGAGGTACTCGTACAAGTTCAATGTTTCTGCAAAAAAAATTGCTTGATAAAAAATAATTTCTCATCAAAAATTAACCTTAGCAATCGAACTTCAAAGGTGATAATATTTTTGATAATGCTTAGTAGTGAAGTTCCTGTCACGGTTACTGTGTATAAGATATGAAGAAACATTCTTTACAGTAAACAAAATTGTCTTGTCGTAATCTCTTGTATTCCACTGTGCTTATGCCGCTGGGGATCTTGGAATCAGGGCACATCTTATGTTGAGAATTCCAGCTAGGGGGCCGTATTTGGTCGCAGGAAGAGAGAAGGGAGGTGTCGTATCTGCTTTTGGAAAAAACGTTTCCGGTTTGACTTCCTCGGTTTTCCTGTTTCAAGTACATTATGACCCCCAAGGCCCGACAGTGGTTGTTAGGGGGAAAAGTGTAGGAATTTACGAAAAAAAAAACTTCGCAAAAGTGGTAGGAACTTGGGAATGTTTTGGAAAATTGTAGAAGGATGAGAAAGAGGAGGATGTGCGCTACAGGGGGAAATTTGGAGGGAGGAGATTTCGCAAGAATTTTCTCTGACGGCAGGACGTGTCCTATTTGGAGGGTAGCTCCATTGTATAATAAGAGTTTCATTAAACACCAAGCGCTTCCACACGTAAGGGTCAGAGATCAATTAGTCTGGATTCACTGTTTATTCTCTTGCATCATTAAACATGTCTAATTACTGAAAAATATTTGGTTTTCCCAAGTTCCTGGAGGCAGCACGGCAACATTAAGGTACACTAAAGCTCAAAGTACGAATTGTGCGGATCCGTGAGAATGGTGGGAAAAATAAGTTTTCCCTGGCCATTTATGAAAGCTTTTGGTTCTTTGACTTATCTTCACGAGTTTTTGATATTAAAGAAATTCGCAGACCTTATGTAATGGCAAGGAGCGGCTACTTACACCACATAGAAGTCCAGGGGTAAATGCTTTGACTCGTCTTCAGGCTGGCCAACAGTGCTTTCGCAGGCGCCTGTAAGGCCTTCTGCCGAAAACTCCAGCGGGCTAGCTGAACCCGTACCCGCCCCTCGGCATTTCCAAGCATTTCCCCGAGATATGACATGGACTTGGTCAAGATGAAAACATGTCACCTTCTCTCCTAGATAGAGACGTGGCTTCGCCATGTCAGAATACGATTTGGCTTAGGCCCGCTGAGTGGTCCAGAAACAAAGCACTGCTTTCCACCCTCCGTGGTCAGCTAAATGGAAAACACCGATCGGGGAAAACCAAAGAACTTGCTTGACAGCAGTTGGTGAGCGCAAGTCAATTGATATAAAACACGCCGTAAGGGGACGCTCAGCGAAGGACCAGGTTGAGGTGGATATACTTCCACATCCAGAAAGGGAGGGACGGCTCATCCTGAGAAAAATTTCCTCATAGCTATGATAAGCACTGATTTCAGGCCAGAGGCATAAAAAGAAGACGCCTCCATTATTTGAGCTAGAGCAACCAACTGTTTCTTAATCTGAAGTGATTGTTCGAAAACACAAACCATTTGGCTTCCACAAATAGCAAGCTTTTCTTGGCTTTTTGGGTAAAGGAGAATCGCTACGACTCAAGTTCCTCATATCTGGAGTAATCGATGATGTGACAGAAGCTGGCGGCATAGCAGAATTTGTGGGAGAAGAATCTTGCCATTTGCACCTGAAAGTTTCTTCTGGAGGTAATCTCAACACTGTGAATCAAAAAACATGACTGTTTCACATGACCGCGATCTTCACATCGATTTGCAGGAAACAATAGAAATGAACTGTAAACACTGGTGAACATACCGAATTCTATCCAAAACTAATACGTCAGGTGGAGGTATCTTCACACTGCGCTCTAATCCAGTCGACTGCACGAAGAAAAGAAATACCTATACTGTAAAATATCACGCGTTGAATATTTGCCCCAACACAAGAACTTTGTAATGAAGGCAAGAAGCGAGTGATTGCCGAATATCGTACTCACTTCAGTGTGTTTCTCAGAATGATTTGCATAATTGGCCAAATGACGAGCGATTTCCGCAAAACACACCTGTATTTGCTCATCTCTGAAAAAAACATTGAAGGCATATGGCACGGTAATTTCGTGCTCGGTCTAAAATGCTAGCAGGGTGCTATATGGCGGGAAATGAAAATCCCGCGCTCGCGCGCGAACTGCCGGCAGAACGTTTTTGTTATTTTTGCTCCAATAAAAATTATTTTGTGCCATCTTTATTTATTTATTTATTTGTGGATGCAGTGTTTCTGCGCTTAATAACTGGACCATCACAATCGACAATCACAATCAATTGAAATCAGAATTTGTTCAAAAAGTGTAGCACTGTGATGGCAAAGAATTTACACCTGAACCTGGTTTCTCGGACTAAAGGAGCCCTGGTCACTTAATATCCGTTTTTCTTAGCCTCATGGTTTTTCTAATGCATCAGCAATATTTTTTGTTCAGCCGCGACTTCTGGCCACTGTTTAATCGGTTGAAACCGCATTCCTTCTTGCATGTGGTTCAGTCACGACGAAGAGTCACTTCGAAAGTCCGGGTAAAGAGTTTGGGATGGGTAAGGGCACAGGTTCACAAATGAGCTAAAGCAACTGATTCACCCCTACTGAACGTACATCGCAATTGGAAGTCAAAACAAAAATCTCAAATTCAGTTTCAGCATATGCCAGAGTCCGAGAAGACTTGGGCAAAGGTGAGCAAGGGTCTGATGGGTGTAACAATAAAAAAGAAGTCAAACTTCGAGTTGGTATCCTTCAGCAGCCGTGATGAGAACATACCCATCGATGAGCCTTTCCTTGGAATCTTTCATCGCTAGCAATTGATGAATCACCTGGAGAATGCCCGTAAAAAGAAATAAACTAATTCATCCAGCAACCCCGACAGATCAGTGGACAAACATTCACCTGTTTGCACTTATCCACATCGACCGCGGACAACTGCTGCTGCCTCATGATGGTGAAAAATGCATCAAATCGCTGGAAAAATTGCAGTATGAGTGAGTTACCGCTACTTTCTTCTAATTCAATAAAATTACACTTAAGCAATAGTGACTATACAAATAGTCGATCAAATTATAAAACTTCGAGGAGTGAGTGGATTCCAAAATGTGGTATGTTCACTGTTTGAAGACAAACTGTACACACATCTCCAAGGAAAGTCGTTGCTATGTGCGAGGTGGAGGGGTCTGCAGCTGCCGTGTGGCTCCTTATCCCGCTCCACAAATTACGGGCTAGGGTGATGGTACCGACTGTCGTCTCCATACTCCGCCCATACTATCCTCAAGGTGCTTCACATGCGTCGATACCAGGTACCATAGTGAACACGGTACTCAGCGGTAGAGAACAATTAGAGGTGAGAAGGTATCGCGCTTGACTATGGCTACGCGACCGGCTGGTGAGTCACGCCGACAGAGGGGAGTATGGAGATGGCAATATGGGACCGCACCCCTAGCCTCTCTCCTCCGCTCCCGTGTACTTTCTGACACCTGAAAAGTCAGTGCTCCTCAGCTGCGCGAACCCAGTCTCCCAATCGGCAAGGTCATCACGATCGCGGCGGTGAGTATTAGTTTTGTCTTCAAGGCCATCTACAACAAAACTTGAATCCCGACAGTGGCGTCACTCAAAAAAGTGCAGAAAAAAATTACAGCAGCCGATGTTATAAAATAAAATTTGAAAAATCATGATCGCGCTTAAGGGGACCTGGCTACTGAGGCGCGGGTTGCAGTACTGCCTAGTGCGATCCGATTAAATAACTGTTTAACGTGAAAATTGTTTCGATATGTACAAGAAAAACGTGAAGAGGTGGGTATTCAGATGATCCTTTTCTCGTCACTCGATATTTTCAAAACTACCACACATCTTCACTTTTGATCACATTACCAATGTGATTTTTTTTCCTCTACTATGCCTCCTTCACCATGAAGATCCTTATCACTCTCTATCTTATCGTTCTTGATCGCAAGCCTCCACTGAAACGTGCGCTCACTAGGAGGATGAACTGTCATGGGAGTTACCAATCTCTTAGCCTTGATTATATCTTTACAGATCCGTCTTTCGCTGCACTCATTGCAGGTGCCAATTCTATCACTTCTGTACCTAATCTACAGCTCGCTCGCTAAGCAACAGAACTGCCTTTTTTGTAAAGTTGCAAACAAGCACACACCTTTGGGACATTGTAAATGAAAGACTGATCGGAGCGGAGAGGCCAGTATCGAGTAACCCGAAGAAGTTGGCGACGTGGTTGAGCACATGGCACATTCGCTGGCTGAAAGCACACACTAAAAGATGCAGTAGAAAAAAAAAACAACATAACAGTTTTCACAGGCATGGGACCTGGAGCCAAAACAGTTTTCGCAGGCATGGATTAAGGAAATGACTGCGCACCCAATAACCATAACACAGTTTTCAAGGTTGTTCGAACAGCTCAAATCGCACAAGCGTATCCAAATAGAGGAGACGAAAACATAAAAGACAGAGCACGCAAGGAGAGACGGGCAGAGAAACCGTAAATTGCCGCTTCGTCTGCCGGCAGTCAGTTGGAAGTAGCGATGCTTTCTTTAATTTGGCAGTTCATTTATGAATGGAGCACTCGAATTTTCAATGTAGATAAAGACATGGGAGACACGTATCAGCTCTATTTTTGGTCGTACCAGGCTTGTCAGATCTGTCGACCATAATCATCTAAAATGTCGTCCGTCACCAGGCGGATGCCAGTTGTCGCGCACGCGACGGTCCACTGGCCGCGGCAACTACGATTCTTTTGTGTCAACATATCCGAGCACCTCTCGGCACTTCATCGAAGACAACCCAGCGCCGGACGCATCGCAGCACGCCCACCCTGCGAGAACAAATTCGTCATTGATTGTTAACATATATCCAAATGGGCTAATAAATATTGTTGCGGCAGAAAAATAGCTATATAGCTTATTAAACATACAAGCTCGTCCAGTATTAAAATAGATAGAATTAGTGGTTAATGAAATAATAAAGCCTCATTTCAGGAATTTACATCTGGACCGTTAATCTTTTACTTTCTTTGTCGGCATCGTATGGACATACGCAGGTGTAGATTCTTATTTAGAGATAAATGAAATCGGCTATTCGAGAATCTTCGTGTTGCCCCTTTTCAATCCATCTTTTCACGGACATCCTGAGCGTCCAACAATTCTACAATATCGGCATATTTATGCGATTTCTTAGAGCACAATCACACTGTCTCATTTAATTTTCCCGAGAGTAACTCTATGAGGGCCAAGGTGTTGCACAACAAGATCTCGATAGGACTGTCGAGGATGCAAGCCATATCGAAGGACGTTCTTTCGCCAGGGTGTGCGAAGGTGAATGGTCTGCGCTGGCGTGCGCACACCTCTCCCAGAGTGCAAGGAAACGTGGCTGGAGCGGCCAGCCACATGCCTAAACCATGGCCAAACGCGCTACTTGCCAGCGCATTCTCACTTCGCGGTCGCTCATCTTACCTCTGACTTCGTGTTGTTCTCGTGGTGTCGTACCGAAACTGCACCTCGAGGAAAGCGCGGGTGGAGTCGGGAGGCGGTACTCAAGTACCGGTAGATCTCAGACCTGCTCCCGCGCACTTTGTAGCGGAGAAAAAAAAGTGTACTAGGCTACGGACCCATTCCTCTCGCACATGGGAGGGACCCCCTTCGGAGGTGCGTGTGCATTTTGCCTTCAACGAGAAGACATATGGAGATATATTGAAATACAGATTCCAACCAATTTCTGCACAATTTTTGGAGAAACTTGGCATACAGTACTTACTAATCCGCTTCCCAATCGCTGATTATCCATGAGAAGCGGGGATCAAATGGGGAAAAGCATCTCACTGCTTTTGAACACAGAAAGAGAAAAAAACGAAACTGTGGGGTCCAAGATCGTTTGCGTGGATGTAAATATGGCCTCCATGAGCTATCAGCGTATGTGCAATCAGTTTCGCTCCTACATTTCCGAGCAGGCCTTCACTTTTAGCAACATGCTGGAATGAAACCTCCTTAGAACGGAACTCTACACCAATGAAACTTAGGTGAGGCACGCCGCACTGTGAACACGCCAATGCGGCAAATTATTAAAACTAACGTTTATTTCCAACATCACATTCCGTCCTTGAAGGAGGTAAGATGACAAGCACACCGATGGTCGACTATTTACTGCTGAAGGAGTCACCGTAGAAGCGTGCCGTGTGCGTGGGAACTTAAACGGACGAGGATTGAAAGGGGTCAAAAAAGAAAAATCTAGTGAGAATAAAAAACCATATTCCATCGTCCTTTCGGAACTGGAGTGGCCCACACAAGACGCGTAGTAGGATATGTCGCATTGCCAGAAAATACCATTAGTGAACCAGTTACATCTGCAACAGTACAGTATTACTAGACCTCTGCAATCTACAAAACTGCTGAGGAGAAATCAGTTTTTTGAAGCATCTAACAGGGGATATACAAAATGGTTGACATTCGTATATCTTCCTCAAACGCGAGCAGGCCTTTGCCGCAACCCGAAAACGCACACGTTTGACCTGTATGGTAACCACACACCACGCAGTGGATGATGAAAATCCTACAGCATTCGTTTGATCAGAAGGCCCGGAGCCATCAGACGCCCGGAGCGCGCGCTATAGCTGTCTGCGCCTGAGGCACTCGCTCTACAGGCGCCAACAACCAATACCATACGGATATGATGTTCGTGTTCAGGGCTTAAATTACTCCTGATGCAAATTTCCACCGAACTTGCCAGCCTGATGTTTTTGCGCGCCGTTTTTGAGCCAAACAGATGGGAGATTTGCTTTCCAATAGTTCGGGAATCTAGAAGTCCAAGGGCAAATCATTAGCCAAATCTATCCACGGGGATTCGATTAAATCTAGACCTGAGGTAGCAAAAGGTAAAACATTCTGAATAGACTCATGAACCTCGTTCAAGGTGAAAACGGAAGCAGGAGCATACCTTCTG